CAGTGCCAGAGGGGTCAGGCTGTTCCAGGCACTGCAACACTGTCCTACCTCCTACAAAGAAAATAGGAGCAGAACTATCTATTCTTTAATTAAACCCTGAATCAGGTCTTCTGCTGGGGTGGTTTGGCATAACTCCATATCCTTCAGATGAACTAGACTGATTTACAGTGGCTGAGCACTTGGTCTTTTATTGATGTATACTTCTGTGTATTGAAATGACGTGGCTTGCTTTTCATAACCATAAGTAGTTTAACATTGGCCAGACAGAAGTTGTTCTAAACTCTATAAGTTAGTAACTTGAACACTGTGCCAAAAAAAACAGTGACCAGGACAGTTGGGTTAATTAGAAGAATGGTGTATAGGGTGACGTGGTTTGGGTTTTTGTTTTCATTTCTGGTTTTTGTTGTTGGATTTTGTTTGTTTGTTTTAAATCACAGTGCAGTGTAGATCTAGCCATAATTGTTTTTAAAAAGGTGGCTTCAGAGCAGGCTAGGGTTGCTTGTGCTGATTTTGTCTGCTGTTTTACTTGGAGAGCTTGATATACTATGTTTTAGTCAGGGCATACATTGGGCACCTGTAAGAGTTCTCTCTTGTGCATTGTGGAATACTGTATTATACTGTATTGTAGTTCCTCACATGTCTGCATGGTTGCCAGCTTCAGAATTAAAGGTGGTGTACACAGCTTATTTGCAGCACCCCTGTGCAGGCACTTCCCTCTGTTTGTCTTTTCTTATAATTTATATATTTAAATTTTCTTATAATTTATATATTTATTTTGTTCTTCCCTTGCTCTGATTTGCAGTGTCAGAGTGTTCCTGGATCCTGGGTGAATACAAAGAGTTTATCTTTCTTCTGGCCCCTGAAGCAGATCAGGTGTAAAATGTGTGTTTAGGAGGCAAGCAGTTCCCCAGACATTAGTTATCCCTCCTCTTCCAGACAGACAGCGATAGCCGAAGCATCTGCCTAAGAGCATGTGCGCCCCAAGAAAAGATGCTGTGCACTTGCCCCCGCTGTTCGTGGTGGATGTGGCCAAAGACTCTTTAGAGAGTTCTGTGCCACAGTGGTCCAGCACCTGCTTCATTTAACCTTGGGCTGTTCTGTTCGAAGCTCCCAGAGATGGAGGTCTTGTCTATGCACTGTGCTGAATACTTGTGGGTGTTTTAGCAGTGCCATAGTCATCTTTGTGTCTCCATGCAATGATTGTTTTGTGGTGTTACATAATATTGCAAATGCAATATTGCACTAAAGTATTCTTTACACGTACATATAGGATGTACGTTTGATTTATACACACTTTGAAAAACAACACAAGACTGTATTTTGTTCTGGTTCAGGCCGTGTTTAGATAGAAAAGACAAATATTAAGTCTCTGCCCAAGCTGTTTGCTTGTTTAAGGACAGGGCTGACTTGCTAGGCCACAGAAGGCTGCCAGAAATATTAATGACTCATAGAGAAAGTAACCAAAAGACAAACTTGCAAACTGATGCCACAATATCTATTACTGGCAGAAATACAATCCTTCAAATAATAAATGAGCTCTTAACATCTGTTAGGTTGCTTGTTTTCTCAGGGGCCCAGTGATTGGGCTGCATGCAGTAACACAATGGCCTTCTGAGGAGCCTACATCACAATTACTGGCTCAATCAGCAGCTTGCAGGAACAACTAAAGAATTGGGCACACCTGGGACTATCCTAAAGGGCTCCTTTATGCTTAGTGAATGCTTTCTAACTAGTTCCATGTCGTGGTTTAACCCCAGCCAGCAACTAAGCAACATGCAGCTACTCGCTCACTCATCCCCCACCCCTGGTGGGATGGGGAGAACAGGAGAAAAGAAGTAAGGCTCATGGGTTGAGATAAGAACAGTTTAATCATTGAAATGAAAGAAAATAGTAATAATAGTAATAATAATAATTGTAAAGAAAATTAAGGTAACAAAAAGAGAGAGAAGTAAAACCCAAGAAAAGACAAGCGATGCCCAACGCAGTTGCTCACCAGCCGCTGACTGATGCCCAGCCAGCCCCTGAGCAGCAACTGGCACCTGCCAGCCAACTCCCCCCAGTTTCTATACTGAGTGTGACATCCTATGGTATGGAATAGCCCTTTGGCTGGTTTGGATCAGCTCTCCCAGCCACACTCCCTCCCACCTTCTTGTGCACCTCCTTGCTGGCAGAGTGTGGGAAACAGAAAAATCCTTGACTTAGGATAAGGACTACTTAGAAACAACTAAACCAGCAGTGTATTATCAACATTATTATAAATCCAAAATACGGCACTGTACCAGCTACTAGGAAAGAAATTAGCTCTGTCCCAGCTGAAACCAGGACATTCCAGTGAAGTGTGGATCATTGAAATCTGTGTTGCAGGCTGGATCAGAGAACTTTGTCTGATGGACTGGAGTGTGCGAGAGCTTGAGCATCGGTACCAGCAGCGTAAGTGAGCATCAGGAATAGATGAGGAAACAACTTTTAGAAAAAGCAATATAAGGCTTTAATAGTTATATAGTGAATACTTTCTAGGGGATCAGCCTGGCAACCTAGAAGCTGTGCAGAAAGGTGTGAGGGCAGCCAAAGTTAAGTCTTTCTTGCTTTGGATGCAACTTATGTTTGGAGACTAAATATTAGGACCTGATGCTACGGAAGTAAATCAGTATTGCCTCAGCCTTCAGTAGCATACTCTTTAGAAAGTTACCTTATTTTTTCTGTATTCCAAAGCTCTCTATTAGATTGCTTACACTGGGCAAATAACCCTTCATGGCTGATGGCAGCAATAGAAAAATATTCAGACATTACAGTTTAAGGTGTGTTTTCTTTTTCTTCCTAGAGACTTGGGAAATTTTCGTCTCAAATTTTGGTGACATAATTGACCAGTTATGATTTGAAAAATGTGCTTTAAATGTTTCTGCAAGAATGGCTGAGCTCCTCAATTATTTGTCAGTCTCCACAAATTTCTTTGCCTCTGCTAATAAGCTGTGTGATAACAACCTCTTACTCTCATTCCAAGCCTGTAGTAGGAGGTGTGAACCTTCCACCTGATTCAGAGGACGCTGGACTTAACAGCCAGTCTGTGAATTGCAGTTACCTTAGGCATTAGGGCATAGCTTATGTACAGTCTAGCACAAAATTTCTCAGTGTATGAGGCCAAGACAAACTTGTATCTACAAAATAGATCTTAAGGAGTAAATACATTGCCTAGCAAATAATTTGTGTAAAGGGAAGGTCCCCAGCCATTCTTCGGAGCCTGCTTCCTAGTCTGGTCCACAGGCACTGGTAGCACAATGCGATGCTAACATCCTTCTTGCTGCCTCTCCTCTTGTAGAAGTCTCTGGCCAAATTATCCCTTTGCACTGAGCTTCAGATAACCGTGCCCCTACCGTTGCTGATTGCTTCTCTTTAGTCACTTTGCTGTGGAAAAGCTAATTCTGCCTTCCTCCGTCCATGAGCGTGGGCTTTCATGTCTTCTGAGTTTCTCAGAAAATGGAAGATTGGGAGAGCTACGCAGCTCACAAGAGCTTTTGAGAAAGGCAAGAAGCTGAAGTGAATTGAGTTCAGAATAGATACGCTTCTTTTTTGTCAGATATTGAGAACAGATTTTGTTCAACAGATTTACCTGTTGCTGTCTTTCACTTGAAGTGCTTGTATATCAAGGAATGCCAGTTTTGGTTTTGTTTTATTGGTTGCTTTTTCTTTAAGAGAGCTATCTTAGCTTCAGAATCTATGTGCTTGGTGCAGAACTTGCTGTGTGAGGTTCTTTGGGAAGTCAGATTTTATTATTTTAATAATAACTTCTATGCAGTTTGAAATATCTAGTAGATTGAGCGCCTCTCTTGCTTTCTTCAGTATACACAAGAGAAAAATCTGGAAAGCGGTCCTGCCAGTACTAAATGAATTTGTGTGAAAATCCAAGACTAAAAGCACTAGAGCACAGACCATTTTCCATAAATTAAATGAGAAGCATTGGTTAAGTTAGCACAAAATGTGATAAAGCTGCAACACATCACGTCATTAGGCTGCTTTACACAGTGACTGGAACATTGCCTGTTTAAATAAACTTGGTACATCTATTTGAAAGCATGCCTCTGTGCATGCCAGCTATTTGATATTTTAAGCTTTTTGTGGTCTTTTTTTTAGAAATACAGACAACTTGTTAATATATGTACAATGACTTTTGAATATTAGTTTGGGTTTCACACCTTATTTTGAGAATTTTAAAAATCTTCCTAATGATTTTGGAGTTTGGGTTTATCCCCCCATTTTTTGTTTAATTGAAAATCTGTTTACAAATGCAATAGGAAATCCTAGCTAGGCAGCATTGAATAACTTTCTATTCAGTATAATGGCATTAATGTTGAGCCACCCGATTGATCTCAGAGTAGTGTCTGTTCAGAAGAGTACAGGGAATAATGCTGGCAATTAAGTAGCCTGTTTTATTCTGAGAGCTAAACATCTGCAGTTCACCTCACTTGTGAGTTATTGCCCTAAAATGAGCATAGTATTCAGCAGCCTTTATAAATCACCGATGGATTTGGATGTAAAGACCTCTCCAAGAGCAAAAGTACTTACGAGATAATAGCAGAGCAACCTAGAGATGCCATTTACTGTTAAAAAGAGAAGATGGTTGAATTGCCTGGGAAATGATTATGAGAAGTAAAGACTAAGAAAGCAAGAGCAGCATTTGGGACTGTTGCTTTGGGTCTCTAGGAGCAACAGCTGAGAAGTCACCAAAGATGTTCATACAATTATGACCACTCAGTGGAAACCATATGTTGTGCCATGATGCACTATGGTATACTATGCTGTGGGTGTTATTCACGTGTATAAACCTGCAGCAGTAATTACTTATGCTCTGTAGAAGGTGAAGATGGAATGGAATAAAATGCATGTTTCAAAAAGAGGAGCTTCTTTCTGCAGATACGCTACCTCTGCCCTTACTGGTGGTGGTCAGGGTAAGCTCTCTCCTAATGTGAAGACTGAGTAATTTCTAATTCTTTTTGTACTTGCAGATCAAACCGGTTACTCACAGTAGAATCACTGTGTCAGCACGGTTTCAAAAATCACTCCAGGAGCCCTACACTATTTTGTAAGTAGAATTTTCAGTTAGTGAGCTGCCATTTTGAGGAGCAGGTGGTGGTGGTGATGTATTGACTTCAGATGAGTTTTATTTAAAATGCTCCTCCAAATTGTTTTACTTTGCTTTATTTCAGCCTGATTGCTAACGGAGACCTTATTAGCCCTGTAGTGCGCCTCCTCATTCCTAGGAAAACACTGAATCACTGGGATCATATTCTTGAAATGGTCACAGGAAAAGTTACCCTCAGAAGTGGAGCTGTTCACAGGTATCAGCATGCTGAATATTTGCAAGATACATTTGATATGCATAGATACGTTTTTAAAACTCCATAGGTAGATATCATGGATCATTTCTGCTTCGTGGGAAACTGCACTGTAAGAAAATTAAAATACATCGAAAACCCACAAAATGGAAATATGTTGACTCCAAGGAACCTTCAGGTTTCATTTCAACTGCTATTTAAAAAAAGAAAAACCTCAATTTGCTTCAACTGTTAATTCTTGATTAAATGCTTAGTTAGCAGGCATGTAATAATACCATAATAATGCAATATATTTAAGCATTAATAATTAAGTTACATGTCAGAATAAAATAAATGAGCACAGTAAAATTAGTGAAGATGTTTGGAATGTGCAACAATAGATGCGATCGATGTTACCTTTTAATGTTGATAGTTCTTTAAATTCATTGGGGCAAACAATTTTAAGGAAATGATTGTAGATTATTTGGTTTTTGAAGATGTGTGCTATGACTAGGATGTGCTTTATACTCAGCCAGCTCAGCCTCCTAATAAGAGCCAAGGCCAAAATTGTAATTGGGGGTTTGCCAATTCCAGTATCTCAACTGGTCTGAGTTGTGGTATCCCAGGAATACAGGGTGACCTCTTGGATGGGTAAGTTCCAGTCCCTTCAGGCTTTTACAGTGTAAAATAAGATCTCTAGAGTAGGATTAGGTAGCAAAATGATATGTGCTGTTTCCCTGAGACACATTGCAGTGTAAGCGGGCTGCCAAGGTGTGTACAGGCAAATGACTGGCATTCCAGTGTTGCCCCCTGCAGAGCACGTTACAGAAATCTGTCCCTCGGGTGGGAGAGGGCCTTTTGTGGAAAATCATTCTTCACAGCTTATGCAATATCTGAGGCTAAGCTTCAAAATCTTTCTCAAATCAGTGAAAATAAGGTAGTCTTTCAGTTCTGATTGCTTTCCCAGAGCTGATACAGATCAGAAAAGATTCAGGTCATGTTATCTGTTGACTGTTAGCTCTTATCTAATTTCTTCTCTCAGCCCTGCTTTTGTTTGCTCTGATTATCTGGCTAGTTAGCACTTTTACTTGAAAACTGTAATCCTACACACATGTTGCAGTTTTCTGGATCTGATTCCCAGCTAGTGTAACTCAGAAGTGAGCAAAGTAACAGCCATTTACAACATACCAATTCTTTCTGCTTGCAGGTTGTTCAGCAATTTAAAAACATTTCACATTTTATTCTTGTTACTTGCTGTCACTCCTCGGTGAAACTGAATGATGTACATGAAATCATAAATCATTCTGTACCTGGCTAGAACTGCTTTTAAGAAGTTCCCTTCAGTACTCAGTTTTAATCCTTTAAAAAATAAGATAACGTACATGACATTTTGAATTACTTAATGTTTTTCTTTTTCGGGTTTTCTATTAACCCAGTCTTCATTTTCTTTTCCTTAAAATGCTAGGAATACATATTAAATACGCTAGAAAAATGATTGTTGTTCTTTAATAAGTTACCTATTAATTGCTGGAGCTTACTGGAACTATGTTAATGTTAGGGGAGGTCCTGTAAGACCACTGATGATGGGAAGATATAATTTCTCATTAAAGAAGAAAAAGTGGAATTACAAGAACCTGCATTATATCTATGGCAGTTTTTCTTTTCCATGTTACTAAAAGACATACAAAGCTGCCAAGTCTTATACAGTTTCACATGTGGCTTTAAAAAAAAAAAATATTGATCATCTCCATCAGAATACAGGTGTAAGAAAGAAATAGGAGAGAGGAGACAATGAGAAAGTAGCTTTTCTGCTTGACAGCTTGTGCATGGGGATGGGGTACAGCAACCTGCTGGGCAGGTACCTGGTGAATTGGCAACTGGGGATTCAGGGATATTGGGTCTGCAAGCTGCGTCTTTGCTGTCTCCTTTGTCAGCCTCTGTGCTTGCTTTGTTTTGGCTGCCACTTTTTGGCTTGGATTCAGACAGGAAAATGGAGCTCCACTGCCACCCCACAGGACAAGCCCTAGGTTATCCCCCAGTGAGCAGAAGAAGTGACCACAAGAACATCTTTGCATAATAGTAGCCAGAGAGAACCCAGCTGGTCTGTGAATGGTTGTGGCCAGGTGGGTGGGTAGAAGGCTTCAGAAATAAATATTAAAATTTGTGTGATGCTTGTTAGGTCAATAGGTATTTCTTTGTTTGAAGTTCCATTTTTAAAAATGCATTTTTAATTTCACTTTCATCTTCAGTGACTGATTATGTTTGATTCAGTTGTTGTGATTGTTATTTTCAGGGTGGAAAATAAAACTAGAGATTGCCAGATAATCCATAACATTTTGGGGGAGTTATTAAGCAAACAACTTTTGTTCCTTAAATATAACATTAAAACACAAGCCAACTGAAAGATTAGGAACAAAACCCCACAGTCATGTTTGTATGTATCCCTATACACCTTCAGTACCATATAAGTATATAAAACAGTCCTTAAACTGTGGTACACAGCTTTTTCCCCTAAGTTCCTCAAAACAAAATGTAATCTAGCAAAAACCAGTGAGATTAATTCTGAAATAAGCTTCTTGATGATTTTTAGATTTCTTGTTTTATTTTCATCGTTTGTGTGCATCTGATGTTGTCTGTGTGGTAGGGAAACTTAAATTGCTCTTTGAATTGCTGGCATGCCTGTGGAATGTTTGCACTAAAAAGTAAATATGACTAATACAGAGGGGATACTTCAGAGTTAGCATGCCTCTTCGCAAGGAAGCAGCAATGTGATGGAGGATTTAAAACCATGCAGTTTCATCTTTGAGAACTTACCGTCTTTGCACACAGAAACCCAAGGTACATCTGTATGGCAGGAGGCACCTAGACAATCGAGGTACTTCCATGAGGGGAATATAAGACAGACGTGGACACATTAGAGCAAGCACAGCAAAGGGCCACAAAGATGAAGGGCTTGGAGATACCTATCGTGTCAGGAGGGCTGGGAGAGCTGGGGCTCTGCAGCTGCGGGAAGAAAAGGCTCCGGGGGATCTTGTTAATGTGTGTAAATACCTGGTGGGAATAAGTGAAGAAGTCAGAGACAGGCTCTTCTCAGTGGTGCCCACTGACAGGGCAAGAGGCACTGGGTACAAACTGAAATACAAGAAATTGCACTTGAACAGAAGGCAAAAATAAAAAAATCACTGTAAGGGTCATCAAACACTGGAACAGGTTGCCCAGAGTGGTCGTGGAATCTCCATCCTGGTGGTTATTCAAAGCACACCTGGACACAGCCCTGAGTAACCTACTCGAGTTGCTCTTGCTCTACCTTGGGTGCTTGGACCAAGTGGTCTCCAGAGGTCATGTCCAACCTCAGCTATTCGGTAATTCCTGGTTCTACAGGCTGCACCTTCTTTTCCTGTGCTTGGTCAAGGCTGTGCCCACCATGTGTAGCTTTTTCTCTGTTAAACGTAAAATTTTGTACTATATAAGTCAGGGGTGTTCTCAGAGTATCTCTATACATTGATACATTGTATATACCATTTTATATCTCCTTGCATTATGTTGAAATTTATGAATAACATATGCAACAGCTCCTGTAGAAGGCTTCTAGAAAGACAATTAAAATAGCCTTTCAATATTCCTGCATTTAAAACGGCAATGCAAAACTGTTGACTTTTTAATTAAATATAAATATTGTTGAGTTTTGGAATATGCTTCATAGGAAAAAGCTTATTTATTACTGAATGTTTAATCCTTCCTCATTATTTTAAGCATCTTTAAATAATATCACAAACTTAACAATGAAGTAATTGGGATAGTGTAGAAAAAAATGTGTTGACTGCCCCTGGCCCCCACCCTGCCAACCCCCCTCTCTGTCCCTAATGCACTTCTTCCTTTTCAGTAAAGTGTACAAACAGAAATTATTGTGTTAAAAATCTACCTAGTGTAATAGGCGTATTAATTATTGGTCATGTAGGTACCTAAGATACACAGCCTCTTGTTTTTCCTGCTACACCCAGCCTTACCCCACCAGGTACAGCCATGTTCCAACCTTCTGATCTATACATTATGACAATATAAGTGCAATATTACTAACTTGGTCTGTGTTAGGTGGACAGGTCCTGCGTTTTCAGTCGTGGGGCCATGAATGCCCTGTTCTTCCCAGGTTACTGCATCATGCCCAGAGCACAGGTGAGAGGTGGAACTTGATATGAGAGGGGTCGGGAACTCATGGAATAGATCCCTTCCAGGGTATCAGGGGAAAGGTGTTAAAGACCTTCGAAGTACAAAGTAACTTATTTCATTTTAGAAATGATGAGACTCATCTGTCATAGCACTTCATACTTTATTAGTTTTATGTAAACTGTGATTTAGGTCACTATTTTGCTCTGTCTTCTTGTCTGGTTTTTTTTTTTTGTGCAGCGACTGATCATTGTATGGCATCCACAGTACTTTATTTGGTTTCATATCTGGAAATTCAACATGATTTAGTGAGTTTCATGTAGCTTTCAATGCTCTTAATATACCTAACTCAAGGTTTATTATATTAAGCATTTTCATATTTTTCAGACTTTACACTTTAGATGGAAAACTTGTTCATAATGGGTCAGACTTAGAGAATGGGCAAATTTATGTCGCAGTGGGTAGAGAAAAGTTTAAGAAGTTGCCATACGGTCATCTGCTGTTCAGCAAATCTACCATGAGAAGGCCGCAGGGGTAAGTTCTATAGTTGTGTGATACACTTCTCACGCGCTTGTGTAGGCCAATTTGTTTACAAAGTGCCACCAGCAAAGTACAAAATCATAATTTCAAGAATGAAGGAGGGATGGAGGGATGGGTTAGTGCGGATGCAAAACTTTATTGAAAACTTCTGAGAAAATTAATATAACAAAAACAGAAGAGAAAATGGAAATTCAGAAGACTGTTTCACCTCATAAACATGCTATTTATCATGTATCACAAAAGTAATGTCAAAGAAAAGATTATTTTGACTTGGCTTAATTTTTTTTCCCTTGGGATACAAATGTGTACAGCTGGATGAGATTAGGTGAAGCCACAGCACGCCAGATCCCCTCTTGCTTGGTAATGTTTTGTGGAATGTCTACTCCCTTAAGAATGATTTATGTTTGGGTCTATTTCTTGTAGGCTAGAATTATCACATAATAGAATCCTAAACCAGGTGTCTGTAAGGAGAAACTTGGGCTTTTAGGATCTTTGGAAAACATGAGAATTGGAGCCATTTCATTGAAACAAATGGAAAGAAATGGAAATTTGTCCCACAAACTGGTGTAATTTAGAGAATTTGTCCCATAGTCCCATATTCTGCCTATAAACTGGGGTGTAATTTTTTTTTTTTTATTACTTTTTTTTTAGTAGGCAACTGTAGACAATGTGAGTAACTTGAAACTATTTTGGAGAACAGAATTTGCAACAAATTAACTTAAGAGCAGTGAAAAGCTATGTTGATCAATCAACAAAGAGTTTTGTTGAAATTGCTGGAACTTTTCATTATAATAGTTGTAAGGATCTTTCACGCAGTAATTCAGCGAATACTGTTCTGCAAATTTTCGGTATGTAAAGTATGCATTGTGGGGAAATGTAATGCATTTGTTTGAATAAGTTAATGATTATGCATTTAAATATAGTCTAGTGAGGAGAAATGGCTGATTCTTAGTTAAAATGCACAATGAATAAAACAATTAACTCTGTTACCACAGCGGACTTGGTGTTACCTGACTTCGTTATAGATACATAGTGCCAATGATAGTGGCAGTGTATACAATTCTAAGATATGGCTTATTTCTGCAGTTCCAAAACCTCTGTACTACCTCCAATTGTGGGCTCCCGAAAGTCTAAAGGCAGTGTAAGTATCAAGTGCCATAATAAGGTTTGTTTCTAATTTCTCTTAATTCTGGCAGATGGAAAGTCCCTGTCCTTTGGGTTTTAATTAAATCTGAAGAGAAAAAATCCACAGCCACCTGTGGCCTTATTAAAGCTTGATGAATCTATAGCTCTTTGCAGTGTCAATTAGACAAAAGGAACCTGAGAAAATATTATTGCAATAATGACCACTTTATTTCTTATAAAACCTTCCATAGCAAATATCAACTGCTGCCTTGAGGTCTTTCTCGTGAACCTTGTCATCTATCTGTGTATTTGTTTATTTATTTATTCAAATTATACACCTGAAGGAAAAACACAGACCCTTTTACAAAATGTCTTTCAGAAAGTGGAGTTTCCACATGCTGAGTCTGAATAAGGAAACTGGTTTAAGGCCTATCTGATGTGTTTTGTCCTAGCAAACCATTAAATACAGAGCTTGGGACTCCACTGCTTTGTATCCTGTAGAGCTGTTTATGTGTGTACAAAATGAGTCCACTGTGGATTTAAGACCGCGCCAAATCAGAATATAAGTATCTGTTTGTACTGATTCTTTACAAGTGCAGTTTACTCTACACGTACAAAACAGCAGAGAGTCTGACTCACAATCTGTCATTATAATTGTGGCAGTTGATCATGTCCATTCCCTGTTTACAAAACAAAATACCATGGAGCCACTGAACAAATTAAGCAGTAAAATCCACAAGTCTCTGTTCCATTTTGTTGAAATTCGGTAGAAGATAAAAGCTCAGTAAAGAACATATTTTCAGGTGGTGTTTCTTTTTAAAATATGAGCTTTGTAATTCGTAAATATTTGTAAAATTAACTCATTAACAGTTTTAACTTCTTGTCTCTTCTACTATTACTTAACAACATGTACAGAAAATGATTTGATATACACTTTTATTCCACTGGGATTGTAGCATACTGATAACAAGTGCTAAAACTTAAGGAGGCAGGAAGATGTACTATTGCTCTTAAATATCTCATGCAACAGTTGAACTGGTATAAATCATGCAATTGTTTGCTTCAATTTGATATCTACACTTTTTACTATTATTGCTTGGGTGTAACAGTCTCCAGTTTGAATTAGAAGAGACTGAAATATTACTGTGCCCTCATTTCTCTTTAAAGAGAAAGGATAAGTGGTAGATTTTATGATATTGGTAGATAAGTGGTAGATTAGATGGTAAAAGCTAGAGAGTATTTAAGTAAGATATTTTAAACAGAACTGATTTCTACTGATTATGTGAAAACTAGAAAAATTACCAAAAAATGTAATAATGTATGCCAGATTTTTTAAAGAGATGTGGGATTTTGTTCAGGACTTATTTTTCTGAAACAAGATTATTTTATACAGTATTATGCTTTAACTTTAGCAGTGAGGTGAAAAGAATTGTTCATGGCCATTGCAGAAGGAAAGGCCTTTCTGGTGGTCAAGTTCTAAAATGGCGCAAATTGTTCATGCAGCTACACTAAGCAAAATGATGAAGTAGAATATATTTGTCTTCTGTAATTCAGTGAAGCCTGTGATAAGGTCAACAGTTCCAGACACTGATAAGGTCTTCTGCCCTATCTGCTTGAGTATTTTGTTGTTATATGGAGTGTTTTGACAGAGATGGACTAGGAAGAAACTACATGTGCTGTTAGACTGGCAAAAATAGGAGACCAAGAGCCTCTAAGGAGAGGCAAAGATAAGGGTGTTCAGTTGGTAAAGTCTTTATGCAGCCTAGAACGATATAAACATCACCCTAAAGGGCTGCTATATACAGTTCAGGCTTTTATGATGTTGAATGTGAACAGATTTAGACTGAAGAAGAATGTGCATAAGTAATAAAATCTCTGGCTAGTACACCCAGGGTCATACATCAAAGCTGTGAAAATAAGGACCAGGTTTCTGGTTCTGTTCCTAGATACACCACAGAGCAAGCAGAGGAACTGGCTGGTGTCCCTGGAGATGATTCAGAGGGGATGTGTGGGCAGACCCCTTTCTTAGTGTCCACTTGGCAGTCAGTGTTACTGCCACATGAAGACTCTCATCCTCTTCCAGTTGCTTCTGACACTGAGAATAATGCACGTCTCATTTACACAGGCAGTGAATTATTCCCAAGTTATATATGCTTCATCTTATGACTTTCCACACATATGCAAAGGTGAGATATAGCTGTATATCACACGCATATGTGTATAGCCATTCTTTTCATCAAATGGAGCATCCTTTCCTTATAATAAATGTGTTATTTTCTTCTGGGAGTTGTTGAGGAGCATTTAATCAGTCGGATTATATAGTGAGTTGATGAGATAGTTACAGTTTTCTGGGTAATTTCACATACCACTTAACTGTACTTATTGTAATTTAATATGCTTCTTCAACACTTGATACCAATCCTTACTATTAAAAGGTTGAAATAATATTGAAATTAAAAAATAAACTTGGTCATTTTAATCAGTGATAATTTTGTCCACTTCTTTTCAGGGAAATGATCGGCAATCTAAATCTACTGTTGGATCCAGTGACACGGGAGAAAACAGTTCTTCACCTCAGCTTCCCAAAAGAAAGGACAAAAAAAGCCAGAATCCAGAGGATTTGGTGTCTAGACAACACTCTTCTAACAACTCTACAAAAGTAAAACAGACAGTAAGAGTAACAGCTTCCACCAGAGTCCTTCAAGATAATGGTCAGTACTGAGATAAACACTGTTGTACCACAGTGGCTTTTGATCTTCAGTTAAAAAGTGAAATAGTGAAATGATATGCTTATGCAGTTCTTGAATTGTCCGTTTATTCTGGCTAACTGAATTTACAAAAGTTCTTTCTGCTTAGGAAATGTACCTATGGGTAGCCACTGCATTCCTGTCTGCATTTACATACCGCAGGAGGCTGTGTATGATTTTTAGTATACCTTGGAAGGTAAACTAATATGGTCCTATTTTAAGCTTTTGAGAAAAGCATAATAGAAAACATAATTTGACCATTTTCCCATTGCTCTGCCCTGCAAAAAAGTGCAGGAAAGGAACTGATCTGCCTTGCTGTCCCTGAGGATCCCTGTTTAGCGGCTTGGTTGCGTGTAACCAAAGGACTAGACTCCGGGGCAGTTACACAGACAAGAACTCCAGTTAGCTGATAGCTGCTGGGACTAATCATGTAGCAGAGCTGCTGGAGTCACTTTCAGAATTTCTCCCCCATTGGGCTGTGGCAGCAATTTAGAAATTGAGTCGTAAACATCCTCTTTGATAAACTGTTTTTCTTACCTTATAGTGTGATATTCCATTATTTTTTAATGTCTAGAAGACTGTCCCCTCACTGCAGATATTGCTGCCATTCCAGGATGGCTGGTTTTCCTCATTAGTAATAGTTCCAAAAGTCATTAATACAGGCCATTTAATATCTGCCAGGATAAATAAATTATACTTTTCATAGCATTTGACATTTCTTCTCACTGCTGTTTAAGTGTTAATAATTAAGTGTGCAATAACAAATTGTGGTCTAAAACTTAAGCATATGTCATCCAACAGCATAGTTTTGTACCTCTGTTTAGAATCATGAGTTGTAAATTTACTTTGAGTCAGGAACAGGTTTATAGATTTGAGTTTTAAAAGATCAATTAAATATAATCTTTTGTAATGTAATTGTCTTTTCAAGAGTTAGCTTGTTGAATTTCGGGTTTATTTTAGTGTTCATTCAAATATCATTCTATCCTTCTTCTCGTAAGTGGACATAATTTTAGCCCACTCTTTTTTGATCGAGTTTTTTTTCTTACTGAAGAGTGACGATTATGCTATAATGAAAGTGACTGGAAATATTTGTCCTTTATAACTCATGAAATGACTGAATATATTCTTCTCCTCGAAGTCATCATGGAGTATTCCCACTTTTTGCAGATTGAGTGGTGCATGATATAAACATATGAGGGAGACACTACCAGAGCTTTTTAAAAAACGGATGTATTGACTTCTGTTGGGAAACGCTGCTACAGAATTCTTTATACAGAGCTCAAAATCCACGTTGTGATTTAGTCTCCAGTACTGAACTGCTTTGAACCTCTACTTATGTTCTCAGTCAGACCTCTAACATTAAGAACAGCCAAGCCACATAACTTTTTCTGATAGGTATGGTGCCATTCTAACGATTCTTTATATGCTATTTTTTCTGGCCTGAGGATTTTTGTAAATAAAGTTTCTACAGATATTTTCTGGAAGCAAATGGACCCCTCTTGCCAAAGTGGGAGAAATTTGTTCTTCGCTTTTGTTGGTCTTGCATTATGTTATCAGAGGTTTCTGATTGCTTTCTTCCATTGCCCGGTGGAGAGAAGAGTACTTGAAGCAGCAATAGTTTCTCTGTCTTTTCTGCAGGCAGTGCCTAGGAGTCAAATCTAACTTTACTAGATGGCAGACAAATACAGGGAGATAGTTACCTCTCCATATTTAGCACTCTTGGTGCTCCACCTGCTGTCAGAAATGGTTGGAAATCCACTAAGTTTGTTGAAGAAGTGACTGCTCGCTTCTAACTTCAGCTTTTCCATCCATGCTTTGTGAGTCTTGCCTAACTAGGAGAAGCAGTTTAAGGCAGCCAATTCCCTGGTTTGAGCTAAAGTGTATGTTGGTGGAAGCTCTCTATTCTTTCTCTGCTCCTCTATTTATCCTCCATGTATGAAGACCTGCTAGCAGAAGGGGGAATGGGCAGTTTGATGTGTGTGCTGTTCTGCAAGTCTAGATAAACCTAGCTGGTCATGCAGGCACGTGCTGAGTGAGATGAAAACTGAAGGTTAAATTCAGACAACAGGATGGGATGAGAAAGCCAGAGCCGTGTAATGGTTTTCTGGTGGACTGCTCTCAGTGGATCTCTGTTCATGAGCAGATGTATACTGAGACAGTGAGAACTCTTTTCTTTTGCTACGCACAAAAAGCAAACCGTCTTGTGTAAGTCTTTAGGCCAGCCACAGTGACAGTGGCAGACTTGTGAACATCTACAGACTTATCTTTCCTCAGTTAAATTCCCTAATATTTGTTCAGCCAGATCAAGTGGAGAATATTCCAGGAAGCAGTTGCCTTAAGCTTCTCATCACAAAGCTACTATTCAAAGTGATTTTCAGCCCTGTTTGTATTTTAACAAGAGGTGTATCCTTAACATTACATTATCCTAGTGCAGCTTAAATGTCCATTTTCTTTCCCTTTAGCAATTTTGGCTGAAAATTTGTAAAGAAGTGCTCCAGGTCCCTTAAAATCCACAGAAGTTGTTTTTGCTTGCCTTGCATTTTTTCCCCCTCTCTGGTGCAATAGGTTTTGTCATAGTAGCCAAGCAATATATCTGAACCACATCCTGAAATAGGTGTGTTTCTTTGTGAGAGAGGGTAATTCAGCCTCTGTACTCAGTTTATTTTCTGAATTGTCTAACAGAGTGGTAGAGGTACCCAAAAGCTAATGCTGTTGGCCAAGCATCTGAGGTTTCTGTTGACCGACTGAGGCAAGTGGCATGTGTCACCATTTAAAGAGAAGCAGAAATGTCTTTCTGGAAGTGGATGGCATTTGAGGTGCGCTGTTGCAGAGGAGACCAAGCAGGACTAAGGAAGAGTGCTAATCAATGTTGCTGCTTCTACTGCAGGAAGCAGGCAAGGCATTCATATCGAATGATATGTTTTTTCATAATCACCCTGTTAACCCAGCCAAGCCTGAAGACTGCACTGCGTGCAGTTTCGGTTTGTTTTGTTCTGAAGTATGGTGAATTGGGTAATTTACCCATATAGTGTCAAAATCTAAAAATCCACAATCTTTAATCCGATGATGACTATATTACGAGAACTTTGTAATGTGCTATTGTTGTGACAGTGGCACAAAAATATAGGAAATAATTTCATGCTGAAATAATTGATGTGTCAGAAAAATTTTCATGTATTTCATAATTAAGTACTAAAATGCACATACAAGATTGTTAGTGGTACCTAACATCACTCAGTTACTTTGAAATTGAGTGCTTCAATGAACTTGGAATACATCTCCCTAGGAGGCAATAATGCCTTTCAGAGAGGTAGGAAATGTCTAGATTTATAGCAACAATTGTTTAAATTTACCCTTCTCTTTGAGAATCTCTGGAGACAGCATTTAGTTTCTAAACTATTTTTTAAAAAATTATTAGTGTGATGGTAGTTTTACAGCTGGAACTGTTCTTGAGCAATACTAGTTGGTTGTGTGTTACTCAGATAATAAGTTTTCTAGGTTTTATGCATACAGACAGGTATTTTATTTTATTTGTTTTCTGTTGAACCCTATGAATGTAAAAGCAGAGCTAACACACCATGCCATGTTTGGTAACCAAAGTCTATCACTGTATGCTCCTTTGCATTGTTCTTTCCCATGTAAATGAACAGCAGGCTTCTCTCTGGAGAGTCAAAAGCACTAGGAACTAAACATCCCCATGTGGGATGTGAAGCATTCTTAAATTGCTCTTGTACATTTTTGCCTATATTTGTCTGCCTGTGAGAGACTGCGGCACTTGCAGTCAGAGTCTAGGGAAGGAGGACGGCTCTTCAAAAATCAGAGCAGAAGTCTCTTCACTCCGGTCTGACCCTGTGTAGGAACTCCACTGTAGTCAGAACTTGGGTAGCTTGTAGTTCAAGGAAATGCACTATACTGACCTCAGAGGCTCATCTTCCACACAGTTGTCTCCAGAGTGTTTTTTCTGGTCACAGCTCCAGACGGAGTGACCTGAAGCACAGGCTGGGCAGGCTGCAGGAGCTGGGAGCTGTTAGTCTGGAGGGCTGCAACTTCACTGTCCTCTGGCCCAGCCAACCCTCTGTGTCAAAGACTGCCTTTGCCAGAAAGCCAATTGGACTGTAAAAATAGAGGGTTACAGGGGTCAGCATTCCACCATATTTCTGTCCTTTATTAACTGAAGGGACTGAACTGCCAGGTGATTTGTGATGATGTTAAACTTACTGCCAAAGGCATATTATTTTGTGACTTGATAGCAAAACAGGCTATCAAGTCTGTTTCTTGATTTCTCGTTAGCTGAACATTTTTCACCTGTGGGACTATCTGTTGAGTTAAATATAGCACAGGAAATTGATTAAGTATTTCCATCCAAATTATCTGCAGGTGGGAAGTAGACGTTCTTAGCCGGTTGATGTACATTTTGGAGCAGAGGTAGGCAGCAGACCAGTCCCCTTCAAAAGATTTCCCTGGAGATCCTCATCAGTTCAATCAGCTTTATGAGCCCACTGACTACAATTCTGTCAGTGGGGGGAATCTGAGAAACAAGGAGATGTGTGGAAGTAATAAAGCCTGAAACATTCTGCCCTCATCAGCACTGGCATTGTTTTTATGGTGCATCATAAGAGAGTCGCCTGGCTCAGTCCTGACCTGTGCAGCCCTTTCTCTACCAGCAAAAAAGCTCGCAGGGTGGAAGTCTCTTTACCATGTTTCTTCATTAACGAAACAAGCAAACTAGTTCTCTTTCCAGCAGACCAGGTTGTGACTGGCTTCTCTGCCTGCTTCTTTTGACATACTAAGGTGACCTTTAGCATACCAACGAAGCAGGAAATTAAAAAATGTTGCAAGTATGCAAACACTGAAAATATTTTCATACCCAGATGACCTAACGTATCTGTATCCTACAGCTTGTTGTTCATGCTTCAGTGGACTTCTTGGGTTTAACCTGCCTGTCCATCTCTTGTTCCCATGGA